CATCACGTGACTGAAGTTGTAGAATTCTGTGTGTGAGAGTGATTTTGTGAGTGAGAGAGGAGGAAAGAAGAGAGAAAGAAGAGAAAGAGATCCTACATAATTGACCATAACTTATGAGGTACTCAAACAGGGACTCAGATTCATTTTGGAAAAGGTCCGCAGAAGATGGAGAGGACGACTTGATGCACCTACATATGGTTATATATTTATATAAATGCCATTTTCTAATAATACAAAGAACCACGTACATGAGAATAAACATAGTGGCGGGTGTCCAGTGGTGAAATATGATGGTGATGCCAAACCCCATCTCCTGCACCTTTTCCCTCTTCCACCTGCCTTGATGTGTCCCGAGCGCCCCCTGGTGTCCTCAGCGCCTCGTGCTGCTCCTGAGCTTCCCGGCAGGGAGGTTTGTGTCTGGGCTCGCAACGTCTTTCCCTCGCTGTGACTTTTCTATAAAAATCATGGTTGTGGACTCGTTGTTCAGGTAGCTCAGCTGTAGGAGAAACTGTTTATTTGGATATGGATCTGGAGATGGTGACTGGACTTTGAGGAGTGGGTTGGATTGTGCACTCCCCTCATGACCTGTGCACCTGATTCGCTCCAGTCCCTTCCCTGAGGAGCTGATGGATCCCACTCCAGCAGGAAGCACTGGTTGTGATGGGAAATTCAGAGACAGCACAGGTGAGGAAGAGGGTCTGTGAGGGCTTCGCCAGGCCAAGAGTGCACTGATATACACAGCTGTGGCATGCACAGGTTCTGAACAACATGTTGAAATTTAGAGATATGCACATTTTGATACATAAATAAAAATAGGATTGTATTGGCAATAATATATAGAAAGAGCTCTGAAATAAACCGATATATAGATGGCGAACTGATTTTCAGCCTGAAAACCAACAATACACAATGGATAAATCAAAGTCTCTCCCTAAGAGGGTGTTAGAAAAACTGAATCTACACATGCAAAGAATTAAGAATTTTAGTTTACGATAAACACAAAAAATCAACTCTAAATGGGATATATGGTTAAATGTATGGCTTTCAATTGTAAAATTTCCCCACCCAGAAAATAATATTAAGGATGATTTCCTGTATTTCAAATTAAAGTTACAGACAACAAAAGCAGAATTGAACAAGTGAAACTACATCACAACAAAAAGATGCTGGCAAAGCGTGGAAAAAATTCCAACAGACAGAATGGGAGAATATAATTTCAAGTCATGCATCTGAAGAAGTGTTAATATCCACAATATACATGCAACTTCTACAACTCATTAGCAAAATCATAATCGTCTGATTGTAAAATGGTCAGTTTTACACCTTAAAAAATTACGAACATAGATTCTTGCCTCTGGGTAATGGAAAGTTTTGTGGTACACTTGGTTAGGGTAGACTTTGTAGTTATTGAATCCAAAATTAATATATGCGGTGTTAGCTGGGTGCGGTTGCTCACACCTGTAATCCCAGCACTCTGAAAGGCTGAGTTGGGTGGATCATCTGAGGTCAGGAGTTTGAGACTAGCCTGACCAACATGGTGAAACCCCATCTCCACTAAAAATACAAAAATTAGCCAGAAATGGTCATATATATGTATGTGTGTATATATATATATTTTTTTCTGATTTTACTTAATATATGTTAGAAAACTGTCATCAGTTGATTCTAGGTCAGGTAGATTATCAATGATAAAATGAGTGGGCCTGATTCCATCACAGCAGAACTGGATACAATTAAATTCCATGGTAATTCGGCAGCTTCGCCTCTCTCTGGGACTTCCAGCCTGCACTTACTGATGGATGATCTTCTGGACATTGGATATTCCCAGCCATCTCCAAAATCTGTCATCCTCTATGTCTCACAGAAATGTGGCATGTCCACCTGTAGCTTGTCAACCCTGAATAACAGGCAGAAAGAGACTCTAAAATGTGACAATATTTATTCTAGGATGTGCACTGCAATGGAAATATGTATGGGTGCATTCAGGTTGGTAAAGGAAGATAAAGAAATAAGGAAAAATGAGGAGGGTTACATCAGCTGTTTTGAGACAATTATCCTGGACTAGAAGGATCAGTAATAGAGGTAACATCAGTGTGAGGTTGAACAAGCAGTTGCTGGGCAGATATACATGGAGAAGTAATTCTTTTAAGGTTGTGATGGCTTTTTTGCAAGGTTGTGGCTGTGCAGAGTCTATTTATGATAGTTCTTGTTATCAGGAACATGTGTGTTAGAACCCTCCTTCATGGCCTTCCCCAGATTCATTCATTAGGGTTTTAACACAAGTGGTTCCATCTTGATTCTAATAAATTTCACCAGCTCTTTCTAACACTACTTCTGAAGCAGATGACTGACAGTTTGAACAGGGTTAATTCCACATCCTCATCCCATTTTAATAAAATAAGTTTATCCCCTTCACTATTAACAGCCAACTGCATTCGCAGATGAGTCTACACACAACACAGTGGAGGGTCCTGAGCAAATGGGGAGGGAAGGAAGTCCCATCAGCCTCTCCCACGTGGCTGCAGGAGCCGCAGGTGGAGCCCTACCTGAGCTCCAAGAAAATGCCTTGAGCCCTGGAAGGTAGACCACAGAGGCCATCTGTTTCTTTTTCAGGAAGCACGAAAAGCAAATAAAAAAAGGGAGAACAAACACTCCAAAGAACATAGATAGGGAGCGAAGGAGCACCAGGTCAGTGCTGACGCTGATTGGATTTAGTGTCAGGAGAAGGGTCAGACGAGAAACCTGTGAGCTTCTACATGACACTGACCCTCGCCCAGCCTTTCTATTGGCTGCGATCAGAATCCCTAAAGACTGTTCTAGTCCAGGAATCTCCCTGAGGTTTCTGTCCTGGGCATGATTGGAAGACACTCACCAGGCACCCGTGAGCTTCCTCAGGTCTCTGATCCTGGTGACAATGGTTGAGAACTTTTCATCTCTGTAAGCATCATTGTGCATTTGGTGCATGAGAGTTATGTCCTCATATTAAAATGATCTTTTGAAAATATGTAGAGATGACATTAGGAAGCACAGAATCCTAAAATTAGAGAAGTTCATTAGAGAAACTGTCGGAAGAAGATGAAGTCCCACATCCTGACAGGAAATCAGCCTCCATTGCACCTGCCTCTGGGGCTGACTCTGATCAGTGGCTCCTGAGCGCCCCCTGCAGCTGATTTCTCCCCAGCGTTCCTGCAGGGAGGTTTGTGTCTGGGCTCAGTGACTTCTCCTCACTGTGTCTTTTGCACAGTAATACACAGCCGTGTCCTCCACTCTCAGGCTGCTCATTTGCAGATACAGCGTGTTCTTGGCGTTGTCTCTGGAGATGGTGAATCGGCCCTTGACAGAGTCTGAGTAGTATATGCTACCACCACTACTAATGTATGAGACCCACTCCAGACCCTTCCCTGGAGCCTGGCGGATCCAGATCAAGTCAGAGTTACCCGAGGTGAATCCGGAGGCTGCACAGGAGAGTCTCAGGGACCCCCCAGGCTGTACCAAGCCTCCCCCAGACTCCACCAGCTGCACCTCACACTGGACACCTGCAAACACAGAGACACCAAGGTCAGAAACTGCCACACAAATCCACTGTTTCTCTCACTCATGTCCCCTCACAGTCAATCTCTCTAGCTCTCCATGAATCACCTTTTAAAATAGCAACAAGGAAAACCCAGCTCAGCCCGAACTCCATGGTTGGTGGTCTGTGTTCAGTGCTGATCACCAAAAGGAAACACCTGGGAATCCCGGGGCTGGGGCTCCTCTCCCAGAGCTGCAGAGTCAGGGCTGGGCTGGTTTTCATCAGCAGAGGGAGGACGGTATTTGCATGTCTCCTACTATATGGCAAGTTCTGGGGTGGGACGCCTGAGGAGAGGACAGGCCCAGATAGGATGACTGTGCCTTGCAGAAGTTTGCTCTCAATGGTGGTATTTGGAAAATATGCTGTCTTGTTATAAAATTAAGCTGTGATAAACACTTTGGAAAGATCACCTTATTTTCTTTTTACATAATTGTGTAAATTATGTTTTGTTGGAGCCAATGGTTTCTCTATGTACAGATGCTCAGTATATGTCTAAGAGCTGATATCTGGGATGAGTGAGCTCCAGCATCTTGGCCTGTGCTCCTCATCACTGGCCCCAGTTACTCCCTGAACCAACTCCAGGACAGAGGTTGATGTGCCCCGTGTGGTTTGTGGAACCCATTTCCTGTACTGAGAACGTGTGTGATTTTGCTGCATTCTAGCGTTCACCTAAAAATATGGTGAGAACTACGGTTCAGGCAGATACATTCCTAAGTATTTCTCAAATTTAATATACGTTTTTTTCTGTCTTTCTGTCACTCCTTCCTTGTCTAAGTTTCCATTTGTTTCCTTGTAATAAACATTATGAGGTTTAACTTAAAGATAATAAACTTCACATATGTAAAGTGTACAATTAATAAATATGATGTAATCATCATCCTTATCAAGGTGGACAAGAGAATTCTCAACATTTCCTTTTGTTCTTCTATATTCTTCCTACTTTTCCTTTTCTTTATTCTACCATTTCCCTGGCAACTACGAATCTTTATATTGCTGCAGATTCATTTGATTTTATTAGAATTTATAAAAATGAACTAACATAGTATATATTCTTATTTGTTTGGCTTATTTTAGTTAGCATAAATAATTAGATATTTTACCTCATAGTTGTATATATCAGACATTTACTTATTGTAAATTCTGGATAGTGTTCCAGCAAACAAAATTTATCAGAATTTGTTTTTTATTAAGCAGCTGAATAATATTTGAATTTTTTATTATTCTGGGTCTTAAAAATCTGCTATTAAACTTGGAAATACACTTACAAAATGAATACATTTTTCATATTTTTTAAAAATGCATCAACAATAACAGGTAAACATGGAATATGGAATTTTGCAAATTTTCTTTAAGGCTTCCGATAATTACAGTTTCAAAAAAACAATAAAGCTGAAGTTTAGGAAGAAGCAAGTTCTTGTAGAGAGGAGCAAAGTCAGGGTATGAAATTACCTAAGGCAGAGTCTGGAATATTAAATATAGGCTATTCCAATAAAAAATAAAAATATATATTGGATTGCTTGAAATAGAATGTGTTGTTTTGTGGTGTGAAATTTTAAGGGACCACATACTGAAAAGCTAACCTATCCTCTTGAAATCCTTTCCCCAAGAAAGGGGACAGTCACAAAAATCTTCCTTTCTCAAAGTGTCTGTCTGGAAGAAAAGAAGAGCCCACACTGCTAAAATGTATTCAGGCCCAATTCCCTTATTTCCACACAGAACTAAGAATTTACTCTTGAAAGGAAAACCACTGAAACCAGAATCCTAGGGACACTGGTTCAACCCCTCAGGAATTGAGATGAGAACAGACATCCCCACCAAAGATCTATTGAGAAGCAGCTCCCCTGTCATTCTTACGGAATCAGAGCCTTAGTCTGCAGGGCAGGGCAGCAGATCTGCAAGGTGATGACACCGATGGAGAACACTGGAGCTGCGGGAGGGAACACCCAGGGAAAACAGGAGGACTCTACCCCAGGGGAAGGGGCAAGAACACACAGACCAGCATCTCATCTGGAAGAGGGTCAGAAACAATCAGAAGGTCACACCCAGACCCAGGGGCACAACGCCTTCCTAGGAATGTGGACTAAGAAATATGGACCTAGGAATATGGACCCTTTAGTCTAATGTCTTTCACCAATTGAGAAATTGTCAGTAAATAAAACACTTGAGTACACCCGAGGGAGCTGAAAGAGATTCTCTGGAGGATGAAACAAGGTGAAGAGACAAAGTCAAGCAGAAAAGACAAAGAAGGTATCATTGGATGATCTGTAGTCTCTGGTGGACATAGTAGGACAGACTTCAATTAGTTTTTGAAACCCTTATCTCAGTCTTTAGTAAATTCTATGATAAAATTGTCAGCCTCTTCAATGGCGTCTTATTATCCCCATCAGGGACGAGTGTCCACCTGGGCACCTGGTACAGTTCTAGTCATGGAGGCAGGGGAGACGGTCTGCTGAGTTATTCCTTTTCCTTCAGGAAAAGAGAATTGCAGAACTGTCTCTGCCCCTTTTCCAGTCAATATATATGTGTGTGACCCTTGGGACTGTTGTCACCGTGTTACTGCATGATGGGAGTCACTGGGAGGGGGGCGGTGGTGAAGGTGACTTTCTGGATGCATCAGTGTGGAGAATTGAGAAAAGAAACTTCCTGGACACATGAGCTGTCAAATTATTCAATCCTGGGCCCGCTCACATCCAGGCTTCCTGTTTCATTAGGTTGTGATTTTCCTCATTGTTTAGTCAGCCTAAGTTGTGTTTCTTCACTTTCTGCTGAAGTAGTCGCACATAATAATCCAGAGGCCTTGAGATAAATAAGTAACTAACTGGATAATTAGAAAAAGCCCCAAGTGATGTCAGTTACTGTGTGGTTAATAATGTGGTAGACAGGAGACCTGGCTGGATTCTAAGAGTGTGTTCACATCTATTTTATCTAGATTAGCAAAATATTTTGTATATCCATTAAGTACTATTCTCATTGAGACCCTTGATTTAACATTAATTCTTGATGAGTAACCCCTAAATAATACATGTGGTGGTTATTAAGTAATAATTTATATTACCAGTACAAACTTTCATTTGGGATATATTCCTCCACCTGATGTAAAATCAGCCCATAAGGCAGAAGTCATTACACTTACTAGAGTTTGTCAATTAACCAAAGACCAGGATTAAATACAGATGCTCTACAGAAGTGCAGAATTCTAAAACATGCTGCAGGCAGAGCATATTTTATTTGCTCTACTTAAATTTTCTGGAAACTCCGTCAAAATGAACAACAAGAAAAGACACCCTTAAATAAATTCCTACATTCTAGAGACCTGACATGTAAATTTGAAACCAAATGCAAACTAAGAGAATAACAAAGCACTAGTATGGAAGCTAGAATAATATTCTGGTGCATCATTACATGAAACACGCAGTCTTAACCTGGTTTGTAATATTATCTAAACATAGAAGCCACTGCCATTGTTCATATCGTACAGAATCAACCCCACTCACAATATTCTGGATATGTTGAAAAATGGCATCTTTAAATAAAAAATACAAAAACTTCTAAGAAAATATGAACTCTCTCTCTCTCTCTCTCTCACTCTGTCTCTCTCTCTCTATTTTTTAAGATGGAGTCTCACTCTGTTGCCCAGGCTGGAGTGCAGTGGCGGGATCTCTGATCACTGCAAGCTCAGCCTCCCAGGTTCACACCATTCTCCTGCCTCAGCCTCCCAAGTAGCTGAGACTACAGGCACCCGCCGCCACATCCATCTATTTTTGTGTGTGTGTGTGTATTTTTAGTAGAGATGGGGTTTCACCATATTAGCCAGGATGGTCTCAATCTCCTGACCTCGTGATCCACCCGCCTAGGCCTTCCAGTGCTGCAATTACAGGCATGAGCCACCGCGCCCGGCTAAAATATGAAAACTCTCTTGGCCAAGAGTTATCCCACTAGCACTATGGCACTCTTGTCCCTCCCTCAGGACACATCAGTTACTACTCTATGACTCTGAAGCTGTAGGATTCATACATTGAAAAATTTGACCCTCATTGCTCACCTCCGTCCTGTTGCATGCATGTGTTACACAATATTGAACGTAATTTTTGTATTATACTCCCTTCAATCACCAAAAGTTTAAGGTTGGCTATTTATGTCATCTTTTAACAGTGTTTTGTGATCTTCAGCCATGGAATTATGTATACCAGAGGAAACATTAGGAAAAACAATCTGCTGTTGAAACATATTGCAATAAATCTTATCAGGCACTACTGACCAAAACTCCACAGAAAAAATTTAGGGAATCAATTCTTGTGTTGATATTTTGTGCTTAAAGAATCAGTTCAGATCAGACGTGGTGGCTCATGCCTATAATTCCACTGCTTTGAGAAGCGAAACCAGGCAAATCATATGAGACTAGGAGTTCAAGACCAGCCTGGGCAACACAGTGACTCCATTTCTTTTTCTTTTTCTTTTTTTTCTGAGACAGAGTCTCGCTCTGTTGGAGACCCCATTTTTATGAAAGATTTTTTTTAAATCATCTGGTTGTGGTGGTGCACCCGTCTTGTCATAGCTACTCAGGAAGCTGAGACAGAAGGATTGTGTGAGCCAGGAGTTCAAGGATACAGTGAGCTATGATTGTGCCACTGCGCTCCAACCTGTACAACAGAGTGAGAGCCTATTTCTAATTATAATAACAATAACTAAGGATATTTCACAATTGTAAGGCTACTCAATTAGAAGATATTAGAGTGAGTATGCTCAGGAATCCTCTGGGCTTCTGATGTTTTGGAGCAGACAGCTCACCTAAGACATTCAGAATAAGCAGATGATTTTAGAGAGTCAAAAGTCTCCACACAAGACATTGGGACAGGACCCTTGTCTAATCCCCTGCACCGTGTCTTTCACCTCGTTCTCCTCGTTTTTCCTTTTCATTATTATTTGCTTATTCTTTTAAACAGTCTTCTCATTTTTTTGTAGACCTGGTCAACCCATACTCATGATTTTTGTAGTTGCTGCATAGAATAAATCATCAGACTATTGTTTTGAGCCTGACTGTTGATAAGTTAAGGCTCATTCCTGCATCATCTCTTTTCTTTCTCACACGAGATGAATCATCCAGTTAGGAATCATGGGAACTCCCTCATTTTATGCCATTTGGAGGTTCAAGTTCCACAAACTCCTTTCTGTGAGTGAGAACCCTCACTTTGCCTCCACTACCAAGCCACTATAGGAACCGTGAGCCAGTCTCCTTTCTTGCTGTATTTAGTCATTTTGGACATTCCTGAGATACGAGCACTAATATTGGCAGACACATCAAGAGGTAATTAATCTTTCCATATTTACATGGGGGAATGGGTGGCACCCCTGGATGTGAAATCCACACTACATTTGAGTTGAGATCTCTTGGCCTTTGCATTCTTAGAACTGATGCTGTGAGCTTGGTGCCACGATTCCTAACCACAGGACACACCTGTTCCCTCAGTGAACTCCAGGACAGAGCTGGACATGCCTGGTGTAGTTGATTAACCCCCTTTATGTTACGAAATCATGACATTATTTTGTTGTATTCTAGTTTTTCCCTAAAAATATAGGTAGTCGTAGGGTTTATTCACGTGTATATTCCGGATTCTTTGATTTCTCATATATATTTAATTAAATCTTTAATTCAGTATTGAGAAATTTAAAATTTCTTTAGTTTGTTGAGTGAAGTCCTTAATGCCTTTGTTCTGTGATTTTTTTTTCATTTCTCACTTATTTTATTCATCTAACTGATTTTCTACCAAATTATATGTGTTTAAATTTGTAATATTTTAATGAGGTAAAATTAGCAAATAATAGCCATCCCATAACGTGTACAATTTGAAAATAGTGACATAACCATTACCTTTCTCAACACAGAAAAAAATCAGCTACCCTCAAAATTTCCTCGTTTTCATATAACTCCTGCTTCCTCCACCTTCCCTTCTCACACCACGTTCAGAGTCAACTACTGCTTTTCTTTATGTAACATTAGTTTTCATTTTATATAGTTTATAAAAGTGGAATAATACGTATGGGCTTATATTTGTTTGTCTTATGTTACTCATCATATGTACTTGTGAATTCACCCTTGCTGTTGAGCATATCCAGCAGTACCTGATTGTAACAGTGGGTGTTTTTCCAGTGAATGAATTTACCACAATTTGTTTACTGATTCAGCTTCTGATTGATATTTGGATTGCTTTCAGTATCGGGGTATTATTTTAAAAGCTGCTACTCATCTTAGAGAAGTACACAGCTGAGAAACACAATGTTCTTATTCTTACAGCAATATGAACAGCAGCTAAACTGGAAAAGCTGAAGTTTAATCAATTGTCTTCAATACATCAGGTAGTTGAAGTTATAGAATTCTCTTTCTGTGTGTGTGTGTGAGTGTGTGTGAGAGACAGAGAGAGAGTTTGTGAGTGAGAGAGAAGGAGGGAAAAAGGGAGAAAGAAGTAAAAGAGATCCTACATAATTGACCATAATTTATGAGGAGCTCAAATAAATACAGGGACTCAGAGTCTTAATGGATAAGGTCCACATTACATGGAGAGGACGACTCGATGCACCTACATATGGTTATATATTTCTATAAATGCCGTTTTCTAATAATACAAAGAATCACGTACATGAGAACAAACATAGTGGAGGGTGTCCAGTGGTGAAATATGATGGTGATGCCAAACCCCATCTCCTGCACCTTCTCCCCCGGTTGCATCTGCCTTGATGTGTGTCCTGAGCGCCCCCTGGTGTCCTGAGCGTCTCCTGCTGTTCCCGAGCTTCCCTGCAGGGAGGTTTGTCTGGGCTCACAATGACGTCCCCTCGCTGTGTCTTTTGTGTAAAAATCCATGGTTGTGTACACGTTGCTCAGGGAGCTCAGCTGTAGGAAAAACTGTTTTTTCGATATGGATCTGCAGATGGTGACTGGACTCCTGAGGAGTGGGTTGGATTGTGCACTCCCTCATGACCTGTGCACCTGATTCACTCCAGTCCCTTCCCTGGGGGGCTGATGATGCAGCTGTGGCAGGAAGCACTGGTTGTGATGGAGAATGCAGATATGGCACGGGTGAGGGAGAGGGTCTGTGAGGGCTTCACCAGGCCAGGAGTGCACCAGGAATCATAGTTGTCGGCATGCACAGGTTCTGAACAACATGCTGAAATTCACAAATAAGCACCTTTTGATGAAAATGAAGAACTCCCTGTGTGGATGAGAATGAGGAGCTCCCTGTGTGGATGAGAATGAGGAGCTCCCTGTGTGGATGAGAAGGAGGAGCTCCCTGTGTGGATGAGAAGGAGGAGCTCCCTGTGTGGATGAGAATGAGGAGCTCCCTGTTTTGCAATTTGTGGGTCCCCAAGTGCAAATAGCAGATTCTCAAGTTAGAATTAGACAAGTATATGGTCACATTTTTTCTTCAAACTTTCAACCAAATAAGAAAGACAAAGTGCTGACAGAAGAATGGGCATTGGGTTGTTAGCTCAATCTATGATAATGGCGATTTTTCAGAATCAGATTGACCTGTGATAGCCTAAAGTGTGTCGTAATCCCGAATCCACAATTAGACCTGAGCAGCAATCATCAGCAGTGGAGGTCACCTCACATGAGGAAAGATCTGACTCTGCAAAGCTGCACACGGGGGTCTCTGCAGGCCCTTAGTTGTACAGGAACAGCTCCTCCCTCAGACTCAGAGTGAGGACAGGTTGCTCTTTATCTGGGGGAGGTGAGGGTTAGTGTGTGAAAAGAAGCAAACTAACTCTAATCAATATCTCTGTACTTGGACAGAAACCAAAGTTTACAAGAAATTATGAACTTGGTGTAAAGTAGGAAATTACAATTGTTTGCAGGCTGCACTCTTGCTTCTTTATGTCATCTAAGAGAACCAAGGAAAATCATGTTTTCTTATGTACATATCCATAAACGGTATTTCCATCCTGATAACACACCTCCTATACCTCCAACATCAGGGAGCACCTGGACCAGGAACCCAGCACAGCTCTCTGACATCTATCACCCAGTTTTTGACAAAGAGACACATCCTGGAGCTCCTCCCAAACAGTGACTGTGACAGTGAAGATGAGAAGGTGTAGCTGCTGCTGGGCACATGGGGGATTCCTGATGGGAAACTATGCTCCAGGAGGAACCAATGGCCTTGATGGAATTAGCTTGGACCACAGGGTTGTTAGGAAGCTCCATCAGACTCCCACCTTCTCCAGCACTGGTTGTGAGATTGGCATAGTGGGCTGACAGTGCCTACAGTCACAACCGACCTCCTGCGCACTTTTCTCCTCTTGCCTCTCCCCCAGACTCCATCACCTGCACCTCACACTAGACACCTACAAACTAGGGACATTTTGGTCAGAAACTGCCACATATAATCACTGTTTTTTCACTCACATCCACTCACACTCAATATCGCTAGTTCTCCATTTTTTTGCCTTTTAAAATAGTAACAAGAAAACCCAGCTCAGCCCTAACTCTATGGTGAGCCACGTGTGTTCAGAGCTGATCATCAAATCGAAACTCCAGGTAATGCTGGACTGGGGCTTTTCTCCCAGAGCTGCAGGGTCAGGGCTTTACTGGTTGTCATCAGGAGAGGGAGGGCCCTATTTTCACTTCCCCTCCTCTGTAGCAAACGCTCAGGTGGGACGCCTGAGGAGAGAGCAGAGCCCAGGGCAGATGTGAGACTCCTGGGGGAGTTTACTGTTGATGGCAGCATTTGGAATATATTATTTCCTGTTAGGTGATTTTCTCATTAAAATGACTAGCAATTATTATTTTATTTCTCTTTCACATATTTGAAACAATAGAAATATAACTACATTTATGAAACATTAAGACATATAAGAGGAGAAATAGAAAACAATAAAAAACTGAGGAGACTTCAACACCTCACCCTCAATAATGTATAGAACATCCACAGAAACATTCTTAGGAAGCCCGTGGACTCAAGCACTGTTGAACAAACTGACCTAATAGACATCTACAGAACATTCCAACCAACAGCAGTGTAACATGCATGCTTCCCAAGCACACTATAAATGTTCTTCATGATGGGGTATATGTTAGATAAAAAATGACTCTCAGCACTTAAAAAAGTAATGCCAATGATTCTCCAACTTTTTAAAAAATTTGTGAGGTGCCCACCTTCTAAACTCTTTCTAAGAGTCTCTAATCAGTGTATTATCAGTAATAGACAAAGGCAAAAGAAGAAAATCAAACTTCTGACAAATGCTCTCAGTATATATAAATAAACTACTCCCAAATCATAGTCAACTAAGTTCTATTAGACTTTAAAAGGATTCTGCACCATGACAAGCTCAAAGTTATTCTTGAGATGCACTGATGATTCAACATCTTCAAATCAATAAATTTGATGCGTTAAGAGAATAAAGGAAAAGAATCAACTTCTCACCACAGAAAATAACATATAAAAATTCAAGATTTCATGATAAAGCCTCTAAAAAGTAGAGATACAAGAATATAACCTGTACATAATAAAATTATTCATATTTAAAGCCATATTTTTATCATATGGAAGAGTGAAAGGTTAAAATATTTTGCTATAGTATCTGTAAAAAGGCAAAAAATAAACTTGGTGACACTTTACTTCCAGATTTCAAAAGCAATAACAAAAATAGAATAATAAAAATAGGATGGCATTGGCATAAATATGTAGAAAGAGCTCAGAAATAAACTGATATATCAATGGCAAACTGATTTTCAGCATGAGAACCGACAATATACAATGGATAAACCAAGTCTCTCCCTAAGAGTGTGTTAGGAAAGCTGGATCTACATATGCAAAGAATTAAGAATTTTAGATTAGAATATACACAAAAATCACTCTGAAGGGCTAAATATTTAAACATATGGTCTGCAATTGTAAAACTTCCCCCACCCAGAAAATATTAACAATGATTTCCTATATTTCACATTAAAGACACATAAAACAAAAGCAGAATTAAACAAGTGGAACTACATCAAAAGAAAAAGATTCTGCAAAGCATCCAAAAAATTCCAACCTACGGAATGGGAAAATACAATTGTAAGTCATGCATCTGAAAAAGGTTGATATCCAAAATATACATGCAACATCTGTAACTCATTAGCAAAATCATATTTGCCTGATTGGATAGTGATCAGTTTTTCACTTAAAAAATTTAAGAACATAGATCTCATGTTAAAGATTCTTCCCTCTGGGTAATGGTAAGTTCTATGGTACACTTGGTTAGGGTAGACTTTGTATTTATTCACTCCAACACTGTGAATTTTCTTAAGACAAGTAAAACGGGTGGGCCTGATTCCCTCAGAGCAGAACTGGAGAAAATGAAATTCCTTGGTGATTCAGCAGCTTAGCCTCTCTCTGGGACTTCCAGCCTGCACTTATTGATGGATGATCTTACGGACATTTTATATTCCCAGACATCTCCCAAAATGGTCATCCTCTATATCTCACAGAAAAGTGTCATGTCCTTCTGTAGCCTGTCAACCCTGAAAAACAGACAGAAAGAGACTCTAAAATATAATATTTATTCTAGGATGTGCACTGCAATTGAAATGTGTATGGGTGCATTCAGGTTAGTGTAGGAAGATAAAGAATAAAGGAAAAATGAGGAGGGTTACATCAAATGTTAAAGATAATTTTCCTGGGCTGGGATATCGGTGTAAAGTTGAACAGGCAGTTGCTGGGCAGATACACTGGGAGAAGTAATTCTTTTAATGTTGTGGTGGCCTTTGTGCAAGGTTACGGTTCTGCAGAGTCTCTTTTTGATAGTTCTTGTTATCAGGGATATGTGCGCTGGAACCCTCCTTCATGGCCTTCCCCAGCTTCATTCATTAGGGTTTTAACACAAGTGGCTCCATCTTCATTCTAGTGAATTTCACCAGCTCTTTCTACCACTACTTCTGAAGCAGATGACTCTGACAGTGTGCACGGAACAGGGTTAATTCCACATCTCATTTTGACCAAATAACTTTATCCCCTTCATTATTAACAGCCAGTTGCATTCCCAGATGAGTCTATACACAACACAGTAGAGGGTCCTGAGAAAATGGAGAGAGAAGGCAGTACCATCAGCCTCTCCCACGTGGCTGCAGGAGCCACAGGCTGAGCCCCACCTGAGCTCCAAGAAAATGCCTTGAGCCCTGGAATGTAGACCGTGGAGACCATTCTGTTTCTTTTTCAGGAAGCAGGAAAAGCAAATAAAAAAGGGAGAACAAACACTCCAAAGAAAGAACATGGATTGAGAGCAAAAGGAGCACCAGGTCAGTGCTGATACTGATTGGCTTTAGTGTCAGGAGAAGGGTCAGACGTGAAACCTGTGAGGTTCTACATGACACTATCCCTGGCCCAGCCTCTCTCTTGACTGTGATAAAAATTCATAGACTTCTAGTCAAGGGATCTCCTTGAGGTTTCTGTCTGGGTCTGATTGGAAAAGACTCACCAGGCACTGCTGAGTTTCCTCAGGAGTCTGATCCTTGATGACCATGGTTGAGCATTTTTCATCTCTGTAAGCATCAATCTGCATTTCTTGCATGCGAGAATAGGTCCTCATATTAAAAAGATCTTTTTAAAAACAAGTAGAGATGACATTAGTAAGCACAGCATTATAAGCTTAGAGAGGTTAACTAGAGAAACTGTGAGAAGATGAAGTCCCACATCCTGACAGGAAATCAGCCTCCATCTGCACTTGCCTCTGGGATTGACTCTGATCAGTGCGTCCTGAGTGCCCCCTGCAGCTGATTTTCCCTGAGCATTTCTGCAGGGAGGTTTGTGTCTGGGCTCACACTGACTTCCCCTCACTGTGTCTCTCGCACAGTAATACACGGCCGTGTCCTCAGCTCTCAGGCTGTTCATTTGCAGATACAGCGTGTTCTTGGCATTGTCTCTGGAGATGGTGAATCGGCCCTTGACAGAGTCTGAGTAGTATGTGTTACTACTGCTACCACTAACACTTGAGACCCACTCCAGCCCCTTCCCTGGAGCCTGGCGGAACCAGTACATCCAGTAGTCACTGAAGGTGAATCCAGAGGCTGCACAGGAGAGTCTCAGGGACCAAGCCTCCCCCAGACTCCACCAGCTGCACCTCACACTGGACACCTGCAAACAAAAAGAAACCCTGGTCAGAAACTGCCACACATATCCAGTTTATCTCACTCTGATTCACTCACACTCAACTTTTTCTATTTCTCTATGTATTACCTTTTAAAATAGCAACAAGAAAAACCCAGCTCAGCCATGGCTCCATGGTGAGTCCTGTGTGTTCAGTCCTGATCACCAAATGAAAACACCTGAAAATGCCAGGTCTGGGTCTCCTTTCCCAGAGCTGCAGGGTCAAGGCTGGGCTGGTTTTCATAAGCAGAGGGAGGGCTCTATTTGCATGTCTTCTACTATATAGCAAGCTCTGGGGTGAGAGGCCTTTGGAGAGAGTGGGGCTCAGAGCACGTGAAAATGTCCTGGGGGAGATTTGTGATATTGATAACATTTTGGAAATTGTTGTTTCTTATTGTCAGTTTTTTCTGTAATAAAACCTTAAAATGTAATAAAAGTTATAATTTTGTAATTTCTTTTTAAAAACGTGTTGTATTGAGGTACAATAGATGTACATAAACTGCATGTATTTAAAGTTAGCACCAATCATCTTTTATTTTTACATATGCAGAGAAACCATGGTATGTAGTATCAATGTTATTTCCATGTTACAGATGAAAAATTACCAGCAAAATCACAGATGGTTTCTACCATGTCCCCAGAGCTCACATTTGGTCAGAGTGAGCCTGGGTATCTGGGCCTGTGCTTCTCACCACTGGATCCGACTTCAGGCTGTCGCACCTGGTGAAGTTTGCAGAACCTTTTCTCTGTAATGAGAACATGGTGTGATGTGTATGCACTGTTGTAATTGCCTATCAAATGTTAAGAAAAGCACATTTTCTACAGTTTTATTTCCTCAAGTGTCATACATTTCTCATGTGAGTGTCTTTCTATAAATCTTTATTGAACAAATTACCCACTCATTTGCCAAATGCTTATTGAGGCATTATTGCTATAAAATAAAATTTTAATAAGCACTGAAGCCGAGCATGGTGGTGCATGCCCGTAGTCCCAGCTACGTAGGGCAGACAGGGGAGGATTGCTGGAGACCCAGGTTCTAAGGCTGCAGAGAACTATGATCTCACCACTGAGCTCCAGCCTGGATGACAAAACAAGACCATGTCTCCAAAGGAAAAATAAATGTAATTTCACATGTGCTCACCTGTGCATCCAAAATAACAGTCAAGATAATGACGACTTACACTTAAAAGCTTCCCCCTATTTCTCTGCTTATTGCCTCCCAGTCATTTCCTTCTCACCATACTGAGTCAATCTCTCATCTTTGTTACTTCAGATATATTTTCTAAGATTTTGTTAAAGTGAAATCTTATAGTTTCCATATCATTTCTGTGGCTTCTTGCTCAGCATAATTACTTGTGAGTCAGTAATTTGGCTGTGTATAAACAATGTGTTGATTCTAATGAGGAACAGCATTTCAGTTAATGACTGCACCCCTACCATTTATTTATAAAGCTCCTTAATATTTGTATGATTACCAGTTTCTGAGTATTAGTTAGCCTGGAGATGTAGGCATCCCAAAATATATATATATATTATTTTTAAAACAACAACTAACCTTACCGAGCTGCAAAATAGCACATTTTCTTTAGTAAGAAAGGTTAATGTTATAGGATGAAAAATAGACCTTACATTTTGAGAAAGTCAATGACTTGTCAGAATAAACAGGAAGAGAATATGACCTTATCTGGGGTAGAGGTAAGCAAATGTCATATAAGCTAATGCAGGACTAAATTAGACATATTCTTTAGATTGTTTAGAGTTGAGTATAATAAAGAGGTTATTGCTTAAATTCTCAGAAGACGTACGATTGAGGGGGATTCCTATCGCTATTGAAAACTTTTCTCCCAGGATTGAGGACACATCACAAAAATCTCCACCCTCTTTCTCCCAAGATGGTTCTGTGTGAGAAAGTGGAACAGCAGCTGTGGCTGAAATGTATCCAGACCCACCTCCCCTGCCACCACGACTTTACCAAAGAATTAACACGCAGGGGCAAAACCACTAACATCTCTGTGTTACTGGCACTGGAGGAACTCATAGAAACTGGGACAGAAGAAATAAAAGCTCAAAAGTTCTGTCCATTCTCTCAGGAATAACAGCCTCATCTCCCATCTCCTCTTTCTTCCCTTGTTAATAACAGTCTCATCCTGCTGGGAAGGGCAGAAAAGAGGAAGCTGAGGACATCAGTGGGAAGACATAGTGGTTGCTGGAAGAAGATCTGGGAAAAAACAAGGAGACCCTCTACCCAGAAATGGGAGAAAGATGCATGGATCAGCATTGCACTTGCAGGAGTGGCAGAGATACTTGGAAGGACACACCCTGAGCCAGGACTGCAATGTCTGCCTATAGTATGGCTCCCTAAGAAGGACAGAAAGTGCCCGTTCAGTGCAACCCTTCCCACCATATTGACAATTGTCAGGTCCATGTGGCTTTGGGATGAGCTGGGGAATCTGGAAGACAGAGTCTTGCTGGATAGCACAAGATTAAGACCCAAAGGCAAGCAGGAAACAAGATTAAGTTGTCACTGGAGGAATCTGAGTGTCTGGTGACTGCAGAGGAAACGCAGTTCAATTCTGGCAGCCACTGCGACAATGACTTTCAAATTTGTAGCCCTGACTAGTTTCACACAATTTTCTACAATAAAGCCCTAGAAAAGATAGTGTATGATCATCTACAAAAAATGAAGAAATCATAAACCAAATAATTAGCTGATATAAGGAATCTAAGTGTCTGTGGAACATAAATTTTGAAATAACTGCATAAATACTTTGAAACATTTACATTTGATTCCATAGTTCATCTCTGTGTACCTTCACAAGAAATTGCCAACAAATGTTTATTTTTAATAACTAATACTTTTTTAATATTATGCTTGTGAATATAACAACCATCACACAGTAGGTTCTATTAGAACTACTGATAAAAAATCAACTTTGGAATTTTTTTTTTTTTGGAGACAGAGTTTTGCTCTTGTTGCCCAGGTTGGAGTGCAATGGCATGATCTCGGTTCACTGTAACCTCCACCTCCTAGGTTCAAGCCATTCTCCTGCCTCAGCCTCCTGAGTAGCTTGGATTACAGTCATGCACCACCATGCCCGGCTAATTTTGTACTTTTAGTAGAGACAGGGTTTCTCCATGTTGGTCAGGCTGACCTCGAACTCCCAACCTCAGGTTATCTTCCAGTCTCGGCCTTCCAAATGGAAAATTCTTAGATTTATTATGGGCCAAATGTGAGGCCCATGCCCTGTGACACAGCCCCACAAGATCTTGAGAACATATGCCCAAAGTGGTTTGATTGCAGCTTAAATTTAATGTCCTAGAGAGACAGACGTCAATCAATACGTGTGAGATATATGTTGATTTGCTCCATAAAGACAAGACAGCTAGAAGGGAGGCAGTGTGGGGAGGGGATTACAGCTTATAGCTGAATTCAAAGATTTTCTGATTGGCAATTGATTGAAAGACTTAAGTTTTTATCTAAAGACCTGAAATCTGTAGGAAAAAAAAGTGTCTGGGTTAAGATAACTGGTTTTAGAGAACAAGATACTTCTTATGAGGATGAAGCCTCTTATGTGGCCACCCTTAGGGGGAATAGATGGAAAATGTTTTCTATTAAGACATTTAAGAGATTCTAGGCTCTCAGCTAATCTCCTCAGTATAACAAAAATACCTGGAAAGGGAAGGAGACTGTCTACAAAATGTAAATTTCTCTCACAAAAGATAACTGTGAAAGACAATTTAAAAATATGTCAAAGAAATACATTTTAGGGTAAAAGACTTTGATTCCTTTCAAAGCCTGTTACCTGTCATGTGATGCTATTCTTGAGTCAGGTTGGAATTTGATATCTTACTGCTACTACGGATCTGTTTTCTGAGGTTTAAGGTTGGTTTTAATGAAAATGCTGGTTAGTTGTTCTTGAATTCCAAAGGGAGGACGGTATGAGGCATTTCTGATCTTCCGTTTCTAACATGGCGTGAACTAGGTTTTCAAGTCTCTGGAACTCCTTTTTGAAGAGAAAGGGTCCATCCAGTCAGTTGGGGTGCTTGGAATTCTACTTTTCATTCATAGGACATATATGAGACTTATTCTAGACAGGGGTATGAGAAAATATTTACTGTGGTAATCACATTGAAGTTGAGAGTTGAAAGATGACACCAGATTCCTCCCTGCAAACCTTTCCACCTGACAGTAGAAGAAGAAAACTTACCAGGAACAAATGTTAACATTTCTTGTGTGTTCAAAATAGCCACCCGTTAGGCAAATAATTAAACTTGGGGGACTTATCTTTAGAAGCAAGTAGTCTAGCTGATTTCTAAAGTCCTTTACAAACCCAAAGATTCTGATTCGTTTACAGATTATGTAGAACATCCCATCTAATGGGAATCTGCAATTAGCTGGATTCCTCTGCATTTGTATTTTTTTATGTTTAGTTCATATAGATACACAATAGTTCAAAACCTTTATGTGGTATATGTGATATTTTGATAAAAGAATATTATGGCAGTGATCAAATCTGGATAACTGGGATATCCTTCATCTGAATAATTGATTATTTCTTTGTGTTAAGAACATTCTAAATTTGATCCTCCAGCTATTCTGAAATCCACACTAAATTATTAACTGTAGTGGTCTATGTGCCATTTTAGCATTCCCACCAGCAAGGGGTGAAAGCTTCTAATTTTCAGCTTCTTGATCAGCATTTGGTACTGTCTATATTGTGTATTTTACCCATTCTGATAGGTTAGCAGTACTTTTTGAATAGTAAACATTCATATACCTAATGTAAATCAAGCTGATCACATTTTTATATTTGTTTTTAGATGTGGTTTCAATTCAGGACTTTACCTATTTTAAAATTAAATTATGTGGTTTTGTTGTTCAATTCTAAGGTAATTTGTATATTTGTGATAAAAGTCCCTTTCCAAACATTTGATTTGCAAGGAAATTCTCCAAATATATGGCTTATATTTTTACTGCCATGTAAGGGTTTATTTTCAAAGGCCTAAGCTTGCTGGATTAATCCGTGGCCATAGGATTATGAAACACCTTTCTCTCCACACCCTACAATGATATTACTAAAGGCCTTTTTACAGCAGTTTCTGTCACCTTTACATAATTTCTGGCTAAAAAAATATCATGAGTCATACTATATCACAGTGTGATAAGACAAAACAAGCATTAAATGAGACTCAGCTAT